ATTTTTGCCGTTTAACCAAAAAAAAAGTTTTCAACCATACTGTAAATCGTAACAAAACAGTTGACAAAATGAGACAAAAATATACCGTAAGTTACAAAAAAATAAGTAAAAACTATACCAATGTCGTAGAATGCCAAAATCAAACGAAAAAGACGAAATTGTAAGGAAATGAACATGAAGATTAGATTATTCGCCAAACCATATTCTGTCCCATTTGTTTAACCCTCACGTAGATTTCATAATGAAAACAACCTTTTTTTTGCAAAACTTTTTTTTTCTTCGCACGCGCGCATCAGTTTTGGGGCCCCCGGAGGATGTCATCCATATAATCAAATCAACATGGCCTTACAAGCGAAACAGACAGTATATAGCAAACTCTCGCGGATTCTCGCGGATCACATTACCTTGGAAAAGAAGCGCGAGATTTAAACGAGATCTTAGACTTAGACTTAGAGAGAGCTGCGCAGAACCGACTGGCCTGGTCCTAGCGACGAACCATATAATCTTGCATCTTCAATCTAGGTCTCTAAAACATCGCTAATTATGAACGTAACAAACCCTGAGCACCCCAGCGCGGTTCTTCGCGAACTGAACAGTCTGAGGAAGGAGGCAGAGCTGATTGACGTGGTTCTGGAGGTGGAAGGGAAAAGGTGATCAGTCAGTCAGAAGTTGGGAGGGGGGCAGGCGGGAAACCGCGAAAAACATTTATTTAGGCCATGTTGATTTGATTATATCCGCGCGGGCATTAAAAAAAAAGTTTTCAACCAAACTGTAAATTGTACAAAACAGCAAAAAGGAGCAAATATATACCGTAAGTTGAAAAAAAAAATATTGGAAAATGATACCAAATTATGTCGTAGAATGCCAAAATCAAACGGAAAAGACGAAAAAAAATATGTACAAGAATTTGAAGAAATGAATTTGAAGAGTAGATTATTTGCTTATCTGAAATACCGTTTTATTTCTGCCACAAAATTAAAAAGATGAAATACTGGTACATAATTTGTGTCCATAAATTTATTTGCGATAGGAACCATTTGTGATCTGAGAACTTTTTAAAAGCATACCTGAAGTCAAAGGAAGCATTCTTTAAACTTTTTTATATGCATATTTCCATTATCATCGCAGACTATGACCCTGTTCATACCAGACTTACAT